AGGAGTATGAAGAAATCTGGAAAGAATTTTATAAAATGATGAAAATCAATGATAGCAGAACTAGAATAGCAGATTACACATTAAGACTATATAAGAGGAAAAGTTAATGACATAAATGGATGAAGAAAGAATCTTGATGTGAACTTAGATTGAAAAGTTATACTTTATACCTTTAAATTAGTCATTATAATGTAAAAGTTGCTAACCTGTTTAATTGGTTGTGTTGATGTTCAATAATATGTTCTTAATGAAACAATTTTAAGAAATAAAATGATACATCTTTTCACTGTGGAGAAGGAAAATTGATAATGAAAGGATCCTTTGTGTAAATCCTGGTTATAAGCATTATTATGGTGTGACTCCACTATAGTTTTTAGTTATCAATAATCACCAAATATTTATTACCTGTCATGTGTGTTTAAAGATAAGTGAGATTTAGACAGGGAACAATTTATGTAGAGGAAATAGTGTGAGCAAAGGCATATTCGTGTTGTTTTTGAGCAACCAGAGTGGTTCAATTTGTTTGGAAGAGTTGTACAAGGAGAAATAGAAAATTGAAGCTAGATAACTAGAGGCCAGGTTGTAGAGGACCTTGAATCCTGTAGGCGTTTGGAAAGATTTTTGAGCAGATGGCTGTTGAATGCAGAATTGCTCAAGAAAGATCAGTCTGGCAGTGGTTTGTGTGAGAGTGTAAATGAAGGATATCAGATAGGAAGGGAATTAGCTTTCAGAGCCATACTTCAGCCTAACCCTATGTGTGGTTTTCTTTTCTTTTACTTTGTGCTAAGCTTGCACCTTGAAGCTCTTGGGTTTCTCTGCCACATCTCTACTGCTGTTACCAATCTATCCTAGCATGAATGCTCTCTCTAGTTCATCCAAGGCAGAAAATGATTTTTTTTTTTCAAAAAAGATGACTGTGATAAAGGAAATAAGGTAAAATTAGAGAAACTCAAAGAACATAGTACTGTCAGGTTATAGGAACCTGGCATTTTTGTATAGCATTTTAAGAATTGCAAAGTGCTTTTGACATATCTCATTTAATCTTTGGTACAGTGGAAAATACACTGACTTTGGAATGTAAGCACTTGGATCCAGATCCTGCCTCGAGTACTTTGACTCTGGGCAAGTCATTTAATCTCCTTGGACCTCAGTTTCCTCATTTGTAAGATGGGAGTTTTGGATCGGGGTAAAGAACCTGTGACCTCAAGGCCACATGTAACCCTCTAGGTCCTCAAGTGCAGCCCTATGAATCCAAGCTTCACAGAACAAATCCCCTTAATAAAAGGATTTGTCCTGTAAAACTTGGACTCAGCCAAAAGGCCACACTCAAGGACCTAGAAGGCTCATGTGGTCTGGAGGCTGCAGGTTCCCCACCCCTGGACTAGAGGATCTCTTCCAGCTCTAGATCTATGATCCTATGTCCAACCCACTATTGTTTCACAGGAGGGAACTGAAACTATAGAAATTAAGTGATGTACTCTTGGCATATAGATAATGTCAAAGGAGGGATTCAAATAGCAGTCTCTCCTGATTCCAAATCCAGTGCTCTGTTAGTCTCCCTAAAGAGGTCTGATAATATTTTCCCAAGATATTTGTTAATCCAGCTATAACTGGCCAGCATAGTTTCTCAGGCTCTCTTCATGTCTTGTTATAGTCTCTTAGTGTGGCCAATAGTCATTTTGAGGGGGCAGGAATCCTAACATGTGTTTCTCTTTGACCGGATCTAATCTGACTTCCAATTCCACAGGTGATTTCCCTTTCCTGGCCCCTTCCAATTACATGGCTGGACCAGATAGACAGAAGCTGATTAGATGCACTTTTCTGGGGTCATTTTGTCTACATTAACAACCAGTGATGAAAGGATTTATCCAAAGCTATTTATACTAGTTTACATACACAATGGGGCAGCTGGGTGTTGTAGTGGATAAAGTGCTGGGCCTGAAGTCAGGAAGACTCATCTTCCTGAATTCAAATCTGCCTCAGACACTTACTAGCTGTGTGACCCTGGGCAAGTCACTTAACCCTGTTTTCCTCAGTTCTTCATCTGTAAAATGAACTGGAGAAGGTAATGGCAGACTATTCCAGTATCTTTTCCAAGAATACCCCAAATGGGGTCATGAAGAGTTTGACATGACTGAAATAACTGAACAACAATTATACAACAATAAACCCATTTATCACCAGCAATAAGGAAAAGATCATTTCTTTGCACATGGATGGGAGAGAGACTGTAGGCAGGAGGAATAGTTAGGAGGCCTACAGTAGTTCAAGCTTGAGATGACCGGAGTCTAGATTAGGGTGGCAGTGGACATGAAAAGAGGTAGATGTGAGAGATACTGCAGAGAGAGAATTGACAGAACTTGGTGACTACATGTTTGGGGAAAGGAAGTAATCAAGGGTGATTCTAGAATTTTGATTTTTGAAGAATGATAGTACCACTTATTAAGAAAAACAGACGAGTTCAGAGGGAACTTGTGTTTAGTAAAAGAGAGTTTAGTTTTTGACATTGTTTAATTGATTGCATACCCTTATTTAAATAATGAATACCACTGAATACCCTTATTCAAATAATGAATACCACTGGGATGCAAATTACCTGAGTCTGTTGCTACATTAACACCTCTACCAGTTCAAACTCCTAATCTTAAAATAAATATATGTATACATATGCATATATATGTAATATATTACCTTAGATGACTACATGACTGTCAAATTATAATTAATAATAACTACATTTCAAGGAAATACTTTAAGTGACATATATAGGGATAGTGACTAGACCTGTAATTTCATTGGTGTAGGGAGTTCCTAGGTAAGGACAGTCTCTACCAATGCAAGCCAGCACTCTTTACATTTTTTTGGTCTTAGAGATTTCCTAGAACATTAGTTCTCAAACTTTTTTGTCTCCAGACTCCTTTTAATTTCTTAGAAATTATTGAAGACATCAAAAAAGCTTTTGTTTGTGTGGATTATGTCTATTGATATTTATGACACTTGCAATTAAAACTGATAAAAAAAATTTTAAATGTTTGTTCATTTAAAAATAACAATGATAAACCTATTCATGTTAACATAAATTTTTGTGAAAAATAACTATTTTCCAAAACAAAAAAAAATTTTTAGTGAGAAGAATGACTTTTTTTACATTTTTTGAAATCTCATTAATGAAGAAGCTAGGTGGTGTAGTAGATAGAGTGCTGGGCATGGAATCAGGAAGATCAGAGTTCAGATATGACCTCAGATGCTTACTAGCTATGTGATCCTGGGCAAGTCACTTAAGCCTGTTTGTCTCAGTTTCCTCATCTGTAAAATGAACTGGAAAAGAAAATGGCACACCATTCCAGTGTCTTTGACAAGAAAACCCCAAATGGGGTCATAGAGAGTTGGGACATGACTGAATGACTGAACAACAAATAATAGAAGACAGTTTGCATTCTCCTATCTGCTTCTGCATTATATCTATTGCAACATGTTGTTTTGGTTGAAGTATGTGAAGAAAATTTAGCCTTGTGTAGATGAAAAAGGGAGAAGTGTTTAGTCTTTTCAAATAATGTTTGATCTTCTTTGATACTACACTAAAACGACAAATGGTGGGTTTTTTTGTAAAGCTTAATTGCAATGTCGAGTCTGAAACCATATCAATGAATTTTTTGTACTCTGTACATTATAAGCCATTGATCTATCTTATACTTTGCTTTGGTGTTTTGATTGGTATAACACTTTGAGTGGATCTTTTATCCAGGCATGATTTCGTAATATACTTTGGTCATTTGGAAAATATTGGTTCATTAGGTTGTGGAGATCTTCCAAATATTGATGCATTTCATTATATAATATCTATATTACTATTATCTCATCATACAAGTCTTTTAAGTATCGGGAAGCTGTCAAACTCACAGTGATAGATACAAGGTTTCCAAAATTCTAATTTTCACTTAAAAGTTTGAATTTTATTGTTAGCTACTAATACTGTCATCTGTTTTCCTTGATATGACACATCTCTTTCATTTGTTTTTGAGAAAATATGTGCCAGATACCCAAGTCTAAATAATCTTAGCTTGTTAGTTATTCTTTCAAGTAAATATGGTATTCCATGAAAAAAGTGGCTCCTTCAGCTCACAACTCAGACAGTTGCACAAGGACTTTCTTCATGCAAATATTTAAATTAAGGCTTAATACAATTCATAATTTTTATTGCTTCATCAAGATATTATTGAGTAAAACTGGCATTTAATTTTTTTTATTTACTTTGAGTGCCCATTGGTGAAGAATACAATGATGACTCATACAGTGTGGTTACTGCCTTGATTTGTGCAATGGCACTGTTTTATCCCCCTTTGCTTTTGCACCGTCAGTGCAAATGTCAACACAGTTGGTCAAGGATAAACCAAGATATTCAAATGAAATTATTCAACACTTTGACTATTTCAGCACCATTTGTGTTTTTCACATAACACATCTTCTTTGATGATTAGTTGGTGCTGATACTGGGTGAATACAAGCAAAACATCAAGTCCTGCCATCTGTAGAGTCTTCTGTTTGTTAGGCAAAAGTACAAGTTTGCAGTCAAGATTTTAACTCTATCTTCACTTTTGCAGCTAAATCTGTAATTCACAGACCATGTGGCTTCTGGAAAACTCCACTGTTCAGTTGGTAGAGAATGATAATGAAAAAGGCAAATAACATCTTAGTATTATTATAAAATTAATTTTGACCTCACAGACCCCCTGAGTCTCTGGGACATTCAAGGGCCCCCAGACAACACTTTGAGTACTGCTGGCCTAGAATACTCAGTGACTTGGCCAGAGTCACACAGTCAATATGTGTCAGAATTGAGATCTGAACCCAGGTTTTTCTGATTTTTGAGGCTTGCCCTCCATCCGTGCTACCTTGTTTATATTGTTTTAATTGCTATAGTTGCAAGTTAAACATTGTGAATGTAATAGGAATTAATTTTCATTGAAGGGTAATAATGAGTTACAAAATTTATTACACAGATGCAGATTATCTGGTGTACGTGTTGATGAGTCTTTATTTCCAGCAATCAACACTAATGAAGGATTACCAAGTCTGATTAAAAAAAAAGTGAGTATATAACAATATGTAACTTCAATGTGCATACTTCTTGTAATTGTGAACATACATATTTTACATTTTATATTCACAGAGAACATATTTAGACACGATTTAAATTCACTTGAAGCTGTTCTGTATGTTTTGTTTTTGATCTCATGTTGACTTGAGCCAGGGGCAGGAGGGTGTTGTAATGTTGAAAATAAAATGATTAAGAGAAAACTAGTATGAGCAGGTATTATGGCAGATATTCCACAGAGGTCTCTTACTTCTCAGGTGTTTTTTGTTTATTTGTTTTGTGTTTTGGTAACATTCTTTTTAAATTGGAGATCCTGATCCAGGGTGAGAAGGGACTTTTCAAGAAGTCTCCATTCTAACCTCTGAACTCTATTAAAATAAATGGGGAGCAAGAACTTTTTGCCAGTAAAAAGCATGGTAGTGGTACTTTTCAGACCTCTCTTTTAGAAAAAAGTCACCATCTCTCTCATATTTATTTCACTTTAAGCCAAAGCTCTTTGGTTCAAGATTAGAAGTCATCTCAATATCCCACTTCCATATCCTTCAGCTAATTGTGGTGAAGAAGAATCTTTTACACTTAAATGTTGCCATGAATTGGCAACATATCTTTATTAAGTCTTACTTTTTACTTTGTGCATCTTTCCTTATGTCACAAAACACTCTTCCTCCCCCAACGTTTCTGTAGGTTAAAGGATGATTCTGAATAGGAAGCAGAGATAGAGGATGACCTTATTTGAATACTAGGTACTGTGGGGAGTTTCACAGAAAGGACAAAATTTAATTCCTGTTCAACAAGAAGATAGACTTTAATGGGAAAGATGAAAATAGCACAAGTTGAAAATAGGCAGCAACAATATATAAAAATGTGTTTGGAAAAAATCCTACCATTTCCCATCTATAAAAAGGTGATTTTAGGAGTAGTGGTGAAAGATAATATACAAATGTGTCCATTCTTAAGGTTTTTATAATTTGTGATATTCTTCCTATGAAAAGCTAATGCAAATCCTCACATCTTTTAGTCATTCTTGTAAAAATTATCTGCTTAATTCAATTATACACATATAACCATCATAGAGTCAAATGTAACACAACATGGGCCATATCAGTAGTTTTGTTTTTTTAATATAAGGGATTATCTATAGTTATCTTGTAATTCAGAATTACTGCAACAAATAACATGCTTGCTTTAGAAAGATAATATAGGGGGCAGCTAGGTGGCTCAGTGGATAGAGTACCAGCCCTGAAGTCAGGAGGACCTGAGTTCAAATCTGGTCTCAGACCAAACACTTGACACTTACTAGCTGTGTGACCCTGGGCAGGTCACTTAACCCCAATTGCCTAAAATTAAAAAAAAAAACACAAAATAAAAAATAGATAATATAAATATATGTGAAAGGGTTATTTTTCCATATTAACCAGATATCATATAATAGTGGTAGTTGATATTATTGTGTTTTTTACAGCGCAAGTGCATGCAACCGAAAGACTTTATTTCCCGAACACCAGAAAATGATAGAAGACTTCAAAAGAAAATTGAGAAAATGGCTAGTGAGCTGAATATTCAAAAAACAGCCATAGGTAAATTAAGTTACATAATGTGCTATGCTTTGTATTTGAAGTTGATTCAGACCCACTGTCAGTAGAATGTATCCTAATTGAATTCTACCCTTGGGTGCCAAAAGAGCTGGTATGTATGGTTGTTGAGCCATTTTTAGTGATGTCTGAAAGATTCATGTAGATTGAAGAGGAACCACACTATAAGAAAAGGAACAGAGGCTGCTACCTATAAGCCAGAGAACTTGACCTCATTTCCTGGGAATAATCTAGAATAGATCGTTTAAAAAATGCTTAAAGAACATATAGAAAGGGAAATGATTACAAATTAACTTACAAAACAGGATTACAACAAAGCCCAAAATGGCTTCATGCCAGAATAACCTTATTTCCATTTTTCATGATTGTTCAGCTAGTATATCAAGAGAATACTTATAGATCCAGTTCACCTAGAATTTAGCAATATATTTGATAGAATATATTATAGAGACAGCTAAGTGGCATGGTAGATAGAGTCCTGAACTTGGAGTCAGGAAGATAATGAGTTCAAATCCTGCCTCATACACCCACTCGCAGTGTGACCCTGGACAAATCACTTCACTTCTCTCAGCCTCAGTTTCCTCATCTGCAAAATGGAGATAATAACATTTACCTCACAGGGTTACTGTGAGGAGCAAATGTAATATATGAAGCACTTTGCAAAACTTAAAGCACTGTATAAATGTTAACTATTATTTTTATCATCTCATTTATTCTTGTGGAGAAGATGGAGAGAAGAAGAAAAGATCGTATAATTAGATGGATTCAGAACTGGTTAGATGTCCACATTCAAAAAATGCTTAGTTTTGGAAACTAAAGTTTTGGGAAAATTTTTAGAAAATAATAGGAAATAATATAACAAAATAAAATAATAATATAAGGAGGATTTTCTGATAAAATTTTAACTAGTCACTCAAAATTTTAATAACTGAAAGTATTAATGATACTTTGCTGTTCTCAACATGTTACTAAACAATACCAATAAATGTAATACTATGTCATAAACTGACATGATTTTTCCCATACATTGTGCTTTTTATAGAGGAAACTCCCTAAAACATCATACATGTTGATGTTTTTCCACCAACTTCAAAATTCATACACATTTAGGACTATAAGATTTGGAGCTTAAAGACTATAAAAGGACTATAAAGTTTAGAGCTTATAAAATTTTTGACTATTAGGTTTAGAGCTGGGAGGGACCAGAAAGGCAATCTAGACCAACTCCTTCATTTTGTAGCTAAAGAAACTAAAGCCCAGAGAAGTAAACTGAATTCACATAAGTCAAAAGTACTAGAGAAGGGAGGATGCCCTCTGACTCCAAATCCAGTTTCCTTTCCACTTCACCATATTACCCATACCTTCACGTGTAGTATAATCAGAAAGCTTCAGAGGTAGAAATTCCATTTGACAGATGAAGGAATTAATGCCTATAGCAGTTAAGTGACTGAAGCTAATTGAAAGAAGAGCTAGAGCTTAGATGCTAGGTTTCCTGATTTCAAATCTAATGATTTTTAAAAAGTATTTGGCTGCCTCACTTTTCTTTTTCCTCTTCTTCCCATCTCACCAGCTACCTTCTCTTTTTCCATTTCCCATTGTTTCGTTTACTGGTATTTAATTTCAGATTTTGTTCATGTGTCATTGTGTGTATGGGAAACAATGGCAGCTAAACGTTGAAAAGTTTGATTATTGTATAATGCTGTATTGCTAGGAAATAATTACTAGCAAATTATTAGATTGCTTTTGTATTAACTCTTAATGTCTAATTTGATGATTAGGAATTTAGCTGTGGCTAATGTCCTCAATGGAGATTCTTATATCATTAAAAATAATTTTTGAGGGGTAGCTAGGTGGCTCAGTGGATAGAACACCAGCCCTGGAGTCAGGAGGACCCGAGTTCAAATCTGGCCTCAGACACATGATACTCACTAGCTGTGTGACCCTGGGTAAGTCACTTAACCCTGATTGCCTCGCCAAAAATAATAATAATAATGATGATGATGATTTTGAGTGTGACCAAGTGGAGGAGGTGAGATATTAGACACTCAAAATTGGGAAGTTCAAGAAATATTGATCTTTAGCATAAATTTTTGATTTAACAGAAAATGACATCAACAAAATTATAAATTTAAGGAACTCATTAATTTAGTGGGAGATATCTGTAGATAGCAATAGAGTCAAAAGTTGTGGATGGGGGTAAGAGACTACAGAAGAGAAGTTATGCAGGAAATAACAAATGTAGTAAATTAAAGAGACTAAAAAATAGCCCTGGATGTATTGGAGTGAATAGAGGAGAGAACCTAATTTTAAAGAAATATCTGCATGCATCAGTTATTATATACCCTTGGATAACATCACATTCTTTAAGTGTGAAGGTGTCTAAAACAGAAATTTTATCAATTTGATTTTTTTCCCCAGATAATGATATTCCAGTTCTATTGTTTGAAGCTGATGGTTCATTGATATATAGTCCCACGGCTAAAATTAAGGATCAGTGTAATGCAATGGAAAAGAGATTACAGGAAATGAAATATAAAAGGGAAAATCTTTCCCCTACATGTAAGTAATTTCACCTTTGTACCTTTTAGGGATTTGGGATGAAACAGAGAGGTACAGCCTTCTTTTTTTTTAAATTCTGAACTTAATGATTCCCCAGCTCCCAAATTAGCATGTCCATATAAACAATAGCACACAAAAAGATTGCATATGAAATCTTGAGATTCTATTTCATATCTTTCTTTCAAAAAAAGTACATAATCAATTCCACATTACTTTCAAAACTTTCCTCCTTGTTCTTCCTCCTGAGCTTCCTTTTCTTTTTTTCTATGTATTTTAAAAAAATGTTTCAATGATCCCCTTTTTTGGAATCACTATTACTAACTCCTTCCCTCTACTCAATTGTTATGACTGTTCCCTTCCTGTTATTATCCTCCCTTTTAACTTCCCCTATCCTGTGTGCTTTTTTTCTATTCAGTTTGATATGTTTCCGTAGCAAACTATGTATGTCAACGTTTGTATGCGTTCAACCCTCCTCTGTCTATTTCACATAAAGGTGAAGCTCATCTGATATCTGTTCACCTGGTCTTTCCTCCTTACTTGTATCTTCTTATGTACCCAAATTATGAGAAGTAACAAGTTATGCCACTTTCTCCTTTGTATACTAATATATTTCCTTTACCTTTCCTTCTCTTTACCCTCTTAAAACACTAAGAAGAGAACCAAACCACTCCAGGTCCTCTGTTTTTCTTATTTTAACTCCATCAATACTCTGAAAACATTAGGGTACTGAAAAGACACTTGTTTATTCTCTTCCTGTTATATTATTAGGACTGCATCATTATATAGCTCCTTCCATCTGCTTAAATAAATTTATCTTCCTAGGTTAGTCTAGACTAATATTCAGCTCAGGTCTTTTCATTAGAGATGCTTGAAAGTTCTCTATTCCATTAAAGATCCTTTTTTCTTTCCTGTGAGATTATATTCAGTTTTGCAGGATAGGTAAGTTATTTTTGGTTGTAAGCCTCTCTTTCATTTTGGAATGTTGTATTCCAGGCTCTCCTCGTTATAGAGGAAGCTTCTGGATTTAGTGTCTTCCTGATTATGGTTCACTGATACTTGAACTCCTTTTTGGATGCTTACAGAATTTTTTCTTTGATATGGAAGTTCTAGATTTTGACTAAGATGTCCCTGGGATTTTCCTCTTGTGGGTTTGGTTTTTTTTAGGAGATACTCAGTGGATTTTTCTATTTTCATTTGCCCCTGGTTTCTAATAGATCTGAGCAGTTTTTTTATGATTTATTAAAATATATTCAGGCTTTTTTATCCTAGTTTTTAAGGAGTCTGACATAAATTGTCTCTGCTTGACCTATTTTCAAGGGCAATTGTTTTTCATAGGTGATACCTTATGTTTTTCTCTGTTTTTTCAACTCTTTAATTTTGTTTTAGTATTTTTTGCTGTTTCATGGAGTCATTGATTTAGTCTCTTGTAATTTGTAGGGAGTTTATTAAGTAGGTTACCACTTTTCTCTTTTAACCTATTCTTCCAATCACTTCTTTCCTCCAGAGCTTTTTTTTTCTTCATTATTTAAATTCTTGTTTCATTTCTTCCTTGTGGAAAATCTTTTTTTTTGTTTTGTTTTGTTTTTAAAGTTTCTCCTTGTAGTTGTCACAAAATTACTTTCTGCTAGGTAGGATTTTTGGGCATCTACACTAAATCTTTATAGTGGTAAGAGTTTTCTTTGATTTACTTAAGTCTCTGGCCTTGATTCCTAAACTGAAGCTTTGTGCTAGGTTCCACTTCTTCCTGTGCTTTTGGGTGGATGTGGTTGGCTCACTTAGTCTTACCCTGGATTTCTGCACTGACTTCCGCCTCCCAGGGTTAGGCCTGCCTGGATTTTTAAGGTTTGGTGTGCTGGGTTTTCAAGACACCCATTGGCTGGGTCCTGCAATATTCTGATATGTGTACTGCTCTGCCCACACTGGTTACTGCTGCACTTTATGGTTTCCAAGGTCACCTCTGGGTTTCTTACTACTTTGGGGCTTTTTCATGGGAAACCTCTGCTCCTGTTGCCTCCAGATGCAGCCCAAAGCCTGACATTTGCCTCTGACTGCCCTCTGGTTAGGCTGGAATGCTGACATTCCTGAGGATGTGTGCTGCCTTTTCTGACAGCCCCCTTTTCTATGCCTTTGGGCTTCTGGCTGAATTTTTGTGCAGTTCTGTGGTGGATGAAGTCACTAGTTTTTCACTGTATTTCTTTTTTTTAATGGTAATTTTTATTTATTTTTTTGTTCTCAACATTTACTTCCACAAGATTTTGAGTTCCAAATTTTCACCCTATCTCGCACCTCTCCCCACACCAAGATGGCATGCATTCTAAATACCCCTTCCCCTAGTCTGCCTTCCCTTCTATCTCTCCCCTCCTTCTTTTATCCCCTTCTGCTTCAGTTTTCCTGTAGGGCAGGATGGATTTCTGTACCCCATTTCCTGTATTTCTTATTTCCCAGTTGCATGTGAAAACATTTTTTTAAACATGTGTTTCTAAAACTTTGGGTTCCAAATTTTCTCCCTTCCTCCCTCCCCACCCACCCTCATTGATAAGGTAAGCAACTAAATATAGGTTATATATGTGCAGTTATGCAAAACACTTCCATAGTAGACATGCTGTGAAAAACTAACTCTATTTCCCTTAATCCTATCCCGCCCCCCCATTTATTCTATTATTTCTTTTGATCCTGTCCCTCCTCAGAAGTATTTGCTTCTGATTACTCCCTTTCCCAATCTGCCCTCCTCTCTGTCATTCCCCTACTCTCTTGTCCCCTTTGCCCCCTATTTTCTGTAGGGTAAGACAGATTTCCACACCCACTTGAGTGTGTGTGTTATTCCCTCCTTAAGTCAAATCCTATGAGAATAAGATTCACTCATTCCCTCTCACCTCCCCCTGTTTCCCCTCCACTATAAGAGCCTTTTCTTTTCTGTTTTTTTTTTGTGGGATAATTTATACCGTTCTACCTCTGCCTTTCTCCTTCTCCTAGTATATTCCTTTCTTACCCCTTAATTTTATTCTCCAGATATGACCCCTTCATTTTCAACTCACCCTGTGCCCTCTATCTATCTATCTATACCTATATATAAGTACATATAATTTTTTCCCCTCCAACTACCCTAATACTGACAAAGGTCTCAGGAGTTACAAATATAATCTTTCCATTCAGGAATGTAAACAGTTCAACCTTAATAAGTCTCTTATGATTTTCTCTTTCCTGTTTACCTCTTCATGTTCCACTCGAGTCTTGTATTTGAAAATCAAATTTTCTATTCAGCTCTGGTCTTTTCATCAAGAATGCTTGAAAGCCCTGTGTTTCACTGAATGACCATTTTTTCCCCTGCAGGATTATACTCAGTTTTGCTGGGTAGGTGATTCTTGGTTGTAATCCTATCTCCTTTGCTCTCCGAAATGTTATATTCCATGCCCTGCCATTCCTTAATGTAGAAGCAGCTAAATCTTGTGTTATCCTGATTGTGTTTCCACAATACTTGAATTGTTTCTTTCTGGCTGCTTGTTATATTTGCTCCTTGACCTGGGAACTCTGGAATTTGGCTACAATATTCCTAGGAATTTTCCTTTGGGGATCTCTTTCAGGAGGAGATCAGTGGATTCTTTCAATTTCTATTTTGCTCTCTGGTTCTAAAATATCAGGACAGTTTTCCTTGATAATTTCTTGAAAGATGATGTCCAGGCTCTTTTTTGATTATGGCTTTCAGATAGTCCAATAATTTTTAAATTCTCTCTCCTGGATCTATTTTCCAGGTCACTTTTTCCAATGAGATATTTCACATTGTTTTCTAATTTTTCATTCTTTTGGATTTGTTTTACAGTGTCTTGATTTCTCATAAAGACACTAGCTTCCAATTGCTCTATTCTAATTTTAAAGGAAGTATTTTCTTCAGTAATCTTTTGAACTTCCTTTTCCATTTGGCCAATTTTGCTTTTTAGGGCATTCTTCTCCTTATTGGCTTTTTGGACCTCTTTTGCCATTTGGGTTAGGCTATTTTTGAAGATGTTATTTTCTTCAGTATTTTTTTGGGTCTCCTTTAGCAAGCTGTTGACTTGTTTTTCATGATTTTCTTGCATGACTCTCAGCTTTTCCTCTCCTTCTCTTACTTGCTTCTCAAAATCCCTTTTGAGCTCTTCCAAGGCCTGGGACTGATTCATATTCTTCTTGGAGGCTTTGGATGTAGGAGCTTTGGCTTTGTTGTCTTCTTCTGGTTGTATGTTTTGATCTTATTTGTCACCAAAGTAAGATAATATAGTGTGACTCTTTTTACGCTGCTTACTCATGATCCCGGCCAATTACTTGAGTTTTAAGCTCTTTGTTAAGTTAAGAGTCTGCTTCCAATGTGAAGAGTGTACTGCCCCGAGCTTCAAGGGTTTGTACAGCTATTTTCAGAGGTACTTCTAGGGACCTGTAAATTTTCAGTTCTTCCAAGGTGGTATGATAAGGTAAGGGGCGAGGTGTTTTCTCTCCACCACCACAACAAGCTCCACCGCACCAGCGTTCCTCCTTGCCCCAGGACCACCCCTCAGAATGTGACCCAGATCCAAGCATTGGTAAAGCAAGAGATTTCTGCCTCAGCACTGGCAAAGAGATCCCTGTAATCCCCCTCTGATCAGCCACTCGATTCCCCCTCAGTCTGTGGGCTGGAAGCTCAGGAAAAAGCTGCTGCCCTGAGCTGCGCTCAAGACTGGTGGCTGAGACCTAGCTCCTATCTCACCGTAGTCACAGACTTTTCCCACTGACCTTCTAAGTTGTCTTTGGCGTTCAGGGGTTGAGAAGTCTGGAAACTGCCACAGCTCCCCAAGATTCAGTCCTCTGAGGCCTGCTCCAGGGTCGCTGTGGCCTGCGCGCCCATGCTGAACTGTGCTCCTCTCCCTGCCCGGTGCGATATACCTTTACAATCAACCATCCAGGCTGTCTTTGGCTGGAAATTTGTTTCACTCTGTCTTTTTGTGAATTCTGCTGCTTTAGAATTTGTTTAGAGCCCTTTTTTTAGGTATTTG